TCACCATCAACCTCCAGCCAATGATGTCACTGTTCTCTTTCTGCCATCCATCCCTAGGAGTCCCAAATGCCCTTCCCCTTGCCCGGTACATGTGATACGTCTTCATTCTATTACCCTTTGTCTTGGCTGCATCCCCTGCGTCCAGAAGAGTGTCAACATGTGGCAAGTTGAAGACAGAAAGGAAAGTGAGCAGTGTGGCTGGTTATTAAGAACAAGGACTCTGGAACCAGCCAGACCTGGGTTGGCATCCTGCCTCCATTCGCTATGTAATCTTAATGTCAGGAGCGGCAATTTTCTCACTTATAAAATGAGGATCAGGATGATGTTCAGACAGCTGTGAAAAGATTAAATGAGACTACACAGGCCTTTATTTTAAGAGTACCCGTCTCAAAATAAGCACTTCATACACAGTAGTTATTAAATGAGAGCCTTTTGGGAACATTAGGCAGTTTTGCTTTCAAGAGCCCCTTTTTCCTTACCAAATTTAACATTGTTTTCTGACTGTGGTGGCATAAGGATAAGTATATTACTATTATATATTAAAACATTCCTTCAGCCTAAAAGCTTTTTTCTTCTGTTTTAAAATAAATTTAAATATTTTTTCGGGCCCCTAAGACTACCATGGGCCTTGGGCACTGTGCTGTCCATGCCTGATGGATAAGCCTGGGTGAGAGAGATCAGCTCTGGTTCTTCCCTCTGTCCTTTCAGTGCTATTAAGTGCATTCTTGGTTGTTGTTTCTCTAATCCTCAGGATATCCATTATCCTTATACTTGCCCCTTCCTCCATTCCATCCAGGCCACCATCCTCCATTCCATCCAGGTCTTCATTCCCCACCATTCCCCTGATGGTCTTATTCCCTGAGGACCACTCTTGTCCTGGCAAGGTGGCATTGAGTTTTCTCATGAACTCTTTCTCACTAAGGTATTAATGACTAACTGTGTTCATCCTCTACTCCTGCTAGAATAGTAGCTTTTTATCACAGAACTCTAAGTGGAGAACTGTATATGACTCAGTACAATTCAAAGCCATGTGTCTGAACCCATAGACATAGTATGGTGATGGCCAGAGGGAAGTGTGGAGGCAGGCACTGGGTGGAGGCAGGCAAAGCTGGGAGAAGAACGGGGACATATGTAATAGTGTCAAAAATAAAAATAAAAATAATGTGGCCCAGTCGGCATTGCTCAGTGGTTGAGCATGGACCTATGAACCAGGAAGTCACGGTTTGATTCCTGGTCAGGACACATGCTTGGGTTGCGGGCTCCATCCCAGTGTGGGGTGTGCAGGAGGCAGCTGATCAGTGATTCTCTCTCATCATTGATGTTTGTATCTCTCTCTCCCTTCTGAAATTTCTGAAATCAATAAAAATATATTTTTAAAAAAAGAAAAAAATGTGAACTCTGATGAAAACCTAGAATGGGAGTTCCAAACACAAAGCCATGTATTTGATGATGAATATTTAGTTCAACAAAGAAATGCTAAAGGTTGAACTTTGGGAATCATTTACATTGTATTGTTCCAGTAGCTGGTGCCTAATCAGCACTCAGTGGTCTTGGTGACACAACCTTGATTAGAAACTTCTACAAAACAGGACACAAACTCTCTCCACAATTCTCTTGATAAAGCACCATACTCAATGGAGTCCTAAAGGAATCCCTTTGATTCATGATTTGTCTTCCGCAGCATCACAAAGGAGGATTTCTGCTCCCCATGTCAGTCATTTATCCAGCTGTACCTGGTGGCACTCCCTCAGTGCCTCTTATTTTCTATGTTTAGGCGGGAAAGTGTTCTCAGAAGTAATCCTATTTATAAAGAAGGGAACTATGGCCCACAGAAGTAAAATACTAGTAACTTGCCTAAAATAGCAAAGCAACTCAATGCCGTGTCAGGACTGGTTCCCAGTCCTCCTCAATACATGGGTGTGGGTACCAGTTACCTCTGTCAGGGCCTATGGTACCATTTACTGCACAGCACAGGCCCTGCAGAGGGAATGCTTGGTTTGATTCTTGACTTTATGGCTTACTATTTGTGTGACCTTGAAATGTTACTCAATCTCCAAACCTCAGTTTTCTCATCTATAAAAATGAGGGGCAGGTAAGAAATACAAGCATGTGCTACAGAGCGATGTTTGGGTAAACAACAGATCACACATGGGAATGGCGGTCTCATATGATTATAATACATTTTAAACAAAAAATTTGCAACGTGAAAAGTAAAGACTGGACTCTACTACAATTTTGCCAGTTCTGGGTGGTTTAAATAGGCAAGGAGGCTCTGCATACTGTCCACCCGCCGTATGCCTGCCCACTGCCTGGGCTGGAGTTGGTGAGGAAGTGAGAGGACCCTAGGACCTGCACTTTTTCCTTCCAGTCCAGTTCCTTTCTCTCTTCCTCCCTCCCTCTTTCTCTCTCCTACCTCCATCACTGTATCTCTCTCTTCCCCTTCTCCCTTTTATTATCATCTCTCATCTCAAGCTTTATCTCTCTGTGTCTCTTTTGAACTCTGCTTTCTCTCTCCTTCCCTTCCTTCCCTCTCTCCCTTCCTCCCTCCTTCTGAGACATATTCTCCCTCCCTCCAATGGTGTCTCCTTCCACGGCTTACCCTCTTATCCTTCCCCTTTGCACACTTTATCTTTTATAATGTATTTTTATTGTACCTTTTCTATGTTTAGATACACAAATACTTACAATTGTGTTACAATCTCATACAGTGAGATTGAGTGCACTAGCATGCTATAAAGGAAGGCAATAAGCTAAACGATGTAGCCTACATGTGTAGTAGACTACACCATCTAGCTTTGTGTAAGCACACTCTATGTTTGCACAATGACGACATCATCTAACAACACATTTCTCAGAATGTGCCCCCATTGCTAAGCAACAAATCACTATAGTTTCAATCTCACAGGGTTGTTGTGAGGATTCTTAGCGTTGTGAGAATCCAGGGAGATTACTCCTGCAGGGATCTTTGCACAATGCCTAGCACATAGCACTTAATAAATGATTGCTCTTATTATTGTACTGATACAACCCTTGATAATTCTATCACTGTCTCTACAATCCTGGTGGCTTGTATGAAGTGCTAGCACTGCTTCCTAGAGTATGCACTGCACTGCCCAGGGAGTGGCCATGGCAATGGGAGAATCTGGCAGAACCGGTTTTTGAAAGCAAGGGGAAAATAAATCAAAGGTGATAACCCAAACCTGGGGGAAAGAATGTATCCCTTTGTTTGTTCTCTATTAGTTGTGAAAGAACCTTTAACATGTAACATATACTGAAATAAATCAGTGTGGCCCCTCTGGGGGTAGCATGGCTGACATCTTTGGTCTGTGCTCTTTCTGACCTCATGAGGACAGACAGTGGCAACTTGGAGTTTCTGCTAAATGGGGTGATGGCTGACCAGTGTTCTGTGATGACGTTGCCTACATTCATGAGTAGACAGGATTAGGAGTCCAGAAACACTCAGAGAAGAGAGGGAGAAGCTTCACACCCAGTACAAATTATACCCTACCCCTTGCTGCACATTGCTCATCACTGACTGTGAAGTCACATGGGACTTCATTGAGAGTCTTACTGAAAATAACAGAAACCCAACTCATATAAGCTTAAGCAAAAAGGGGGATTTAGTATAAAGATTGCAAAGTATCAAGGACGACAAGGAAAGTTGCAGAGCTGACCTGGGATTGAGTCAGGCCCCTAAATGCTATCAAATCTTGTGTCTTTCCACTATGCTTCCTTGTTCTCTCTCTGGACTTACTTTCTCTATGGTCAGGTGGACGTAATGGAACAGCAGCTCACATGTTTTTGTAAATCACTGTGCAGCCACCCAAAGAGAGCCATAGGATTACGAAGGAAGGAAGCTGATTGGCTCAGCTTGGGTTGGGTTCCTTTCTGATTACCAGTTAGCAATGGTAAAAGGCAACACATGGCACATCTACCATAACTATATACCACCTGTGAATGAGGAAAACCACAGATAAAGAGTTACTAAAACAGGTACTGATGACTAGAAACATCATGCTCACATTAGGTTATGTGCTGCATCCTGGCCATTCCCAGATTCCTCATCATTTTAGCAGAGATCCAGGATGTCTCTGTGCTCACTTCCCTCTGCCTGTTCTCCTGGGCAAATTCTAACCCCTTACCATGCCAATTCCAGCATTATAATATAGTGGAAGTGACACAGGCTTTAGAACTAGACAGACCATAAGTTAAAGCCCAGGTGTGACACTGGGCAAGTTACTTAGCCTCTCTGAGCCTCGCTTTACTTATCAATAAAGTAATTCACATCTACTCGGTTGTTGCAAACACTGAGGAAACAAATCCCCAGGAAAATCTGTGCTGAGAGTGTCTCCAATGATAAATGATAAAATCATGGTTTTTGTGCACCCACACAATGTTGCTGCATGGGCTCAACTGCAAAGCCACAGAATTACAGGAGGAAGAGTCGATGAACGTCAGATAGCATATCTCCTTGGGCACAACAAAAATTCCAATACTTACATAGAGGATAATAGCAATGAAAGGGTTGAATCTGTGGGGGGAAAACACAAGTAGAAATTGTATCCCAGCTTTATACTTTTCTGTGTTTCCCATCTTGGTCAAAGCCGTGTTCATGCCAGTCGCCTGTAGGTGTGTGGGGTTATGTGTACAGGCATGTGGAATATTTTGACCTACAAGAAAAATCAACAACACTGTGGTGATGCATTGTAGATATTATCAAAAGCTCCTGATGATCTATGCAGGATTCTTCATCCATTGGCCTATGTCACTATCATGGAACCACAGTGACCTCTGACCACTAATTGATCTGCTCCTCCTTATTTTGTTCTGTTTGTGCTACTGAGAGTTTCATCATATTCCAGACTCGGCTTCATTGGTGCTTCTTTTTTAATTCTTCCTGTGTGTAAGTGGAAGAAACATTTAAATATTATGTCGCTTTTGAGAAGAAGCACATCTGGATTCATATCTCATTTTATCCTACTTTCCCTCTTGTCTTTCAGCTCCAGGGTTCCTTGAAAAGAAAACAGATAGTCAATCTGTCTCCTGCCAACAGCAAGAGGCCCAACGGCTTTGTGGACAACTCCTTCCTTGATATCAAAAGAATCCGCGTTGGGGAGAACCTCTCTGCAGGACAAGGGGGTCTCCAAGTAAACAATGGACAAAGTCAGATTATGTCAGGGACCTTGCCCATGAGCCAAGCACCCCTGAGAAAGACTAACAACCTGCCTCCCCACACACATTCTCCTGGCAATGGCATGTTTAACATGGGCTTGAAAGAAGTAAAGAAGGAGCCAGGGGAGACTCTGTCTTGCAGTAAGCACATGGATGGCCAGATGACCCAGGAGAATATTTTTTCTAATAGGTACGGAGATGACTCCGGAGAGCAAATGATGGATCCTGAACTGCAGGAACTGTTCAATGAACTGACCAACATATCTGTTCCTCCGATGAGTGACCTTGAGCTGGAGAACATGATCAACGCCACCATAAAGCAGGACGATCCATTTAACATTGACTTAGGTCAGCAAAGCCAGAGAAGCACTCCCAGGCCCTCCATTTCTATGGAGAAGACAGTGATCAAAAGTGAATACTCACCTGGTCTGACCCAGGGGCCATCGGGCTCTCCTCAGTTGAGGCCCCCATCAGCCGGCCCTGCATTCTCCATGGCCAACACTGCCCTGTCCACTTCCTCCCCAATTCCTTCAGTCCCTCAAAGCCAGGCTCAGCCTCAGACAGCCTCAGGAGCAAGCCGGGCCTTGCCAAGCTGGCAGGAAGTGTCCCATGCCCAACAGCTCAAACAGATAGCTGCCAACCGTCAACAGCATGCCCGGATGCAACAGCACCAGCAGCAGCAGCACCAGCCCACCAACTGGTCAGCCTTGCCCTCTCCCGCTGGGCCATCTCCAGGTCCATTTGGGCAGGAGAAAATCCCTAGTCCTTCTTTCGGTCAGCAGCCATTCAGCCCACAGGGCTCCCCCATGCCTGGGGTAGCCAGCAGCAGCAGCCAGTCAAAAGTCATGGCTAACTACATGTACAAGGCCAGCCCCTCGGCCCAGGGTGGGCACCTGGATGTGCTTATGCAGCCAAAGCCTCAGGATCTCAGTCGAAGCTTTATGAACAGCTCGCACACGGCCATGGAGCCCCGTCTTGGCAACACCAAGCCTTTGTTCCATTTTAACTCAGATCAAGCAAACCAACAGATGCCTTCTGTTTTGCCTTCTCAGAACAAGCCTTCTCTCCTACACTACACCCAACAGCAGCAGCAGCAGCAGCAGCAACAGAGCTCGATGTCAGCTCAGCAGCAGCAGCAGCAGCAGCGACAACAGCAACAGCAGCAACAGCAGCAACAGCAGCAGCAGCAGCAGCAGCAGCAGCAGCAGGCACAGCAGCCACCCTCTCAGCCCACCCAACCTCTGTCAAACCAGCCTTTGCTAAGGTCACCTTTGCCACTTCAGCAAAAGATCCTGCTCCAGAAAATGCAGAATCCGCCCATCACAGGACTGGGATACCAAGTCTCCCAACAACACAGACAGGTAAGGGCTCTGCTACTCCAAACACACAGTGCCTATAGACCGCGGGTCTTGGTCACTGTGTTTTGGTTACCATTATGTTTGCATTGAGACAGGATCAAGACCCGTGATTCTGACGGATCCATATGAAAGACCTCAAGGAGTCTTGAGCTAGTATTTCTTTATAGGGCGTTAATGTCATTGGGATCTGTAGGGATCAAAGGCTCTTGCATATTAAGAATGTTTCATTATAATCCATGCCTTTGGTTACAGGTCCAGTTGTCAATCAGATTCTGATATGCACATTATTTATTCATCCAGTCCATAAATTGGTCATTAAGTCAACAAGTACAACCTGAACACCTACCATGTGCAAGATGTTGTGATTATGCTGAGTGTTGACATAAGGCCACACTTGATATTGAAAGTATTTAACAACTAGTTTACCATCCATACCAACCAATTAAAATGTCTTAATGCCATACCCATCATAATAGATCCTACTGTGACTCCATGTTGGTGCTGAGTATCAACCTTAAATTAGACATGATCCTTGTCTGCAAGCACAGCCTCCAGAGAGAGACAGGCTTTAAAGACTATCATTTTATGAGAGGCAAGGGGAATGATGTGAGAGCACAGGTTGGGTATCTTACCCAGCAAAGGGAAACCACCAGATCAAGCTTCTGGAGAAAGTAATGTTGGAGTTAAAGTTACATGTTAAAGGATGAAGTCATCATGATGATGAACAACAACAAAAATCTGTGGTTACCTTACATCCTGTGGTTACCATAAAATAGGGATTTTATTCTGCCCCAAACATGTGTATTTGAATAGTATGAAGAAAGAACTATGTATCTCCAGAGCACATACTGATGAGGAAGCTCTAGTTCTTAGGAAACTTGAAAGAGGAAATTCTTCCTGGGAAAAAAAGGAAGGAAAGGAAGGAGGGAGGGAGAAAGAGAGGAAGAAAGATACGGAGGGGAAAAAGGAGGGAGGGAGGGAAGGAGGAAGGGAGACAGGCGTGAGGGAAGGAACTTGAATGTTGCTTGTGCATGTAATTTGACAGGTCTACATTAGTGTCCAAGCACAAAGACAGCAAATTACATGTCAAAACAGTATGCTGGGACAGCACAATGGCACCGAGCCTAATTTCAGTCCCATTCCTAGAGTAGTTTTCATGGTCACAGCCCAGAAAAGAATGCCACAAGCACCACAGACTGTGGCCAAGCTACCCTTTGCCCTAGATGTGAGAAAACTAGACTCAACTAGGATCCTAGAACTGTGTATCAAGTAAAGCGCTTTCAGTTCTTGTTTAAAGAGTAATCTATATTTTAATTGTAGATTATGAAGAATGGACTTATTAAGAGTCATGTGTATATTTTAGAAGGTTTTGTTTTTAATATGGGTAGTTTGGGGATCATTTAAAAACAAATGGTACTGTGGAACTACTTTCTCAGTTACATGTAGCCATATTGATTTGGATGAATTAAGGTTCAAATTCTTACCAACACTCACTCGGTACATGACTTCAAGCAAGTCCTCTAAGCCTCAGTTTCCTAACCTTTAAAATTGATAATAATATACCCTAGGTTTTTTTAATAATGAAATGATATAATTCTTAGTTTAGAGTCTAGAAAAAAGTTGGCTATTATTGTGGTTATCATGGAAAGAACCATATGTGATATCAAAATATTTTAACAAGTATTAGTATTATATAGGAAAGGCATTAGAGTAAGTCTCAAACTCTAACAAAATAATATTGGAGGAATAAAAGAGAACTATCACTATTAGTTCCCTCTAGCAATATAGTGAGTGGGGAGTGATTTATCCTCCCTGGGCTCATACTTCAGACCATAAAAATGGAAATAATAAGTAATGACATATTAATGAGAGCATTTCTTGAGTGTTTACTCTATAAATGGCATGACTTCTGCCTCCCCTACTTGTGGTATCCCATCTGAGTGAAATACCATTTTACCCATCTGAGTGAAATACCATTATTCTCATCTTACAGGTGAGGCACAGAGAGGTTAAATAACTTTCCCACAACCACACAGATAATAAGTAGCTGAGCCAGGTTTCTGATGGGTCTACTTTGAAGGGTTGTGCATTCAGCCACTAGGCTGTGCAGCTCACAGGTAGGATTTGTTGAGAAATGAATGACCACCTAGAAATCGTTGTGGGATTCTTAAAAGGAATTCATCTTCTCATATTGGACAATATTTACACAATATACATAGTTGATTAAGTCCTTTTGGGATAGAGAAAGTCTTAAATCTCCAACCTTTGAGGTTGTTAAAAGAATTTAAAAAGTCTGTGTAACTGCCTAGTTGTAGACCTTCCTAAGGATGAACATTATGGAGCTAGTCAAAATAAGTAATTTGCAGCAGGTGCCTCATCAGTCTTCTTTGGGAGCCTTCCTGCCACCTCTGGCATCTGTCCTGTTTCCAGCTCTACTGCTCACATCAACAACCATACACCATACTTCTGGTCCCTTAGTCCCCAACTCAGCTTCTAGGATCCAAGCACATTAATGGGTATTAATGGCAAACTCTACAAACATCTTCCAGTGTTTTAGGTGATTTTTACTTTTCCCAATGCATAGGATACATAGAATGCCCAGATAATTTTCACCTTTTTTGAGAAGGCTTTTCAAAAGTGTTAGAAATAGTGGTGGCATTCCAAGCAAAAGGCCTCTTCTTAATAGAAAGGTAAGTGGCTACCCATTTAAAGCTTGATTTCAGTTTTGTAGATTGAACCTGTGTCCCTTCCAGCTCAATGATTCTATGAGCTATGACTCTGAAGTCTTTTGAGTCTGAGTTGGAAGTGAATGTAGCAGAGCTCTAGAGTCAAGTAAGTGTTGCCCTCTTGAAAGCATTCACCTTTGTGGAGTTGGGCCCATTCTAATAATGGTGCTATTCAATATAGTTACAAAATTTTCCTCTGGGGATTTTCTTCAGAGCTTTTAGTACACACTGAGTGGATTATTACCAATGCAATAATATTCATCCTGTCAGGGGGGGTGGTTAAAAATAGTTAAGCTGGATAATGCTGCTTTGGGTCAAAAACAAGGAATAACTGATCTCATATGGCTGCATGTCAAGCTTGGTTTGTGAACTTTCTCTGAAGGCAATAAAGAAAATAAGTTCCTTCCCAAGATGATAATTTTGAGAAGCATCTTTCGTTTGGATGTAAATATTTCAAAGGTTTTTCCTAATTTTTTCTAATTTCTGTTGTTGTTGTTAATCCTCACCAAAGATTTTTCCCATTGATTTCTAGAGAGAGAGAAAGGGGAAAAGGAGGGAGGGAGGGAAAAAATTGATCTGAGAAAGACACATTGATTGGTTGCCTTCTGCATACACCTTAACCAGGCCTGAGGATCAAGCCTGCAGCCCGGGTACATGTCCTTGACCAGGAATCATTGAACCTGTGACCCTTCCATCCAAAGGCCAGCCCTCTAACCACTGAGCAACACTGGACAGGTCAAGTTTTTCTAATTTTTATTGTCTCACCCAGTATATTACCAAGTATACTCAACTCAAAGAGAATAGATTTAACTCTCCCATCCACAGTAAACAGTACACATATGTATTCTCATTTCAGATTCACTAAATCTCTACTACTCATGATCAAAGACATGGGAGGGGGGATTGATAATTCAGCAACTCAAGTTTATCAACTAAAAGCATCCTAAATGAAAACAATAGTCGTGACTTTTTTTCTGCTTGTCATACTCACTTTATGTCAAACACAGAAAGATTTACTATGGGATTTGCTAATTGGAGCCCTTTAGCCTTGGAAATGCTGGAAATCTTGGCTTTCTGCTACAGAATGGTACACTAAATTTGTTCATTGGTTGCTTGTAATTTACCCAGTAGAGGGTGCACAGATGGCCTTCTGCTCAACTTTCAGAATTCAGACAGATCTGCTTGCTCAAGCAGAGGCTAAATTTGGGGGATTCCTAGGCCCCTCTCCCTTTGTTGGGTACCCACCTCTGCTCTCCTGGAAATTCCTAAGGGACAGATGCAATATAATCGAATTGCTATAAACATCTTATTGTTCAATGCCTGGGGTGGTTTTGAGTAAAGCCCCTTCTCCAGAGACTTTGAGAACAAATGGCATTTGGCATTTCACAAAAATAAATGTCTTCAGCCACTCTGTCTTGCTAATGTTTGGGGCTTTTCAAATTGGAAAAGCTCCCGGCTATAATTTTCTTCCCTTTCTGATTTGAAGGTTATGGGAGAGGGCAAGAGCGGGATGTAATGCATGCAGGTCGGATCTATCTTCATGACTTAAGGTATGAAAGAGTTACTGGCTGACCAGGACTCATATAAGAGAAGTCCGAAAGCACTGATCTCTTGAGTCAAAAAGTGATCTTTTTTTCAGAGCTTTTTAATTAGACACTTAAAAGTGTGACTTTTTTTCTAACATTAGATCCATGAAACTCAAGTGGATTCTATATTTGGTTTAGAATTCTCCCATCTCTAAAAATTCTGAGAGGGCAGGCAGCCAGTGAATGGATGGTTTGTTATGACCGAAACATAAATTTGTACATTTCCTCCTTCGTTTAAAGCCAAGCTCCTCAATCATACATCAAGAACCTCACCACACTCTCTCTGCCTAGCCAAGTTTATCCTTCACTACTCTACATATCAACCCTGACTTAAATCAGGCAAATCTCCTATCTCTTTTGGAAGGTAATTTTGTTTATGTCTGATCTTCAAGATTAACCCTCAGAAAACTGTTTCCCAACTGGCCTGGGTGAGGATGGGGGAATCACTGTACTTTTCATATACTGACAATACTAGGTGTGCATAATGGCAGATTTTAAAATATATATATTTTATTGATTTTTTTACAGAGAGGAAGGAAGAGGGATAGAGAGCCAGAAACATCAGTGAGAGAGAAACATTGATCAGCTGCCTCCTGCACACCCCCTGCTGGGGATGTGCCTGCAACCAAGGTACATGCCCTTGACCAGAATTGAACCCTGGACTCTTTAGTCCGCAGGCTGATGCTCTATC